TAATTTTAAATGAAAATACAGCAGCAAAATCCCCATTATAAATATCAGAGAAATTATTTTATTTTATAATTATACACTTCCCTAAGCCTTAAGTAAATATTATACTTTACCCCTGGAAGTAAGTCAATTTCTACTATAACTATAATATTAAGGAAGTAGATCTATATCTAGATCTTGAATGACTCCCAAACCAACAAGATCCCAAAAGATAACCAAAACTCATTTGCGCTATTAAGGATACAGAATGCTAATAGTAATAGCCGTATTTATTATTTCTTATTTAATCTTAATAATAAAAAACTATTAAAGCTAGAGAAAGAACGAGAAGTCCTCTCATCTTCAAAAATAGCCCAACAAATTAGTCCATCAATCACTTTAAATTGAGAATGTATAGTTTTCCAATCTAATCCTAAAAATAAAAAGATGAACAATAGCTAAGAAGTTAGAGAACAAGTTGGGACAATACCATGTATGAAATACTTTGAAATACAACGCATTAAATGGCCCATGTGGGCCAATAAGAGCAGCCGTAAAAATAACCAAAACAACGGCCACCGTTTTTGTTTTATATGAACACATAAAAAAAAGAAGTCATGTAATCATCCAAAATGTACGCTTTCAGTACTAAAACACACCCTTTGTGAATTTGACCTTTTTGACCACCACATACCCGCAAGTATCCCAATGTACACCGACGGCTAACCATTTGCAGCTGTGTGGTCACAGGAAAATAGGATAAATAACCTTTCCTATCTACACCACACCTGACCCTACACGGTCCGTATGGCTGGCGACTGGAAAGCACAGCCTTTCAATTTCAAATCCAACCTCAAGACTTGGATGTCTAATTCACATAATACGAAAGGTGAGACCATTTTGAACAGTCCAACCCCTCCCCTCCCCCCAAGAACACACACATACACGCACACGCACACACACACTCCCTCTGAACTCCAGAGATTAAATTAGATTTTCCTAAAATAAACTCCTCCTCAACAAAACCAGACTGTGAGAGTGAAACTAATCTGGGAGCATAATAAAAACATACTTAGATAAAACACAATCTAGACAAAAGGCGTGAGGTCCAAAACATGTAGTTTTATTAATAAACACTAACATCGAATAGTTACAACACTGGGCAAAATGAGAACGTTACAGCAAAGTAGCGAAAAGCCAGTAACAAATTCCAGATGAAAAAATATTCATTTCTTTCAAAACATTTCTTGTAAAGTTAACACAGCTCACAAATTCCTGAAAAGGTTTATACACATAAAAATTCTATTGTAGAAAGATCATCAACTCTTTATTCACAGAGAACACCTACGCACACTCAAGATAATGATTAGCCCATCTGAAGACAGCTATAGAAGTAAATAAAAAGAATTTTATCCACCCAAAGTCCATAAACATTATATTCTCATAAGAATCAATTCAAATAGGCCTATTGTCCCAGAATTAAAAACATAATTCGAAACTCATGCAAATCTTCATTGTGCAAGAACTTATTTGCAGCCCATCTACATTTGAAAAGACCAAAAACTCTGGGAAGGAACAACTTACATACATGACCGAAGCAAATTATCTGCAAAAGTGACCGATAATTTTCTTTTTTATTAGATTGTTGAAATAAATTATGAACAACATTTGTCTACCACAAACCCCGTATTGGTGCAACAGAATAGAAGTAAAACAAATATAATATAATCACAGAAAGTATGTGATCTTCACACAAGTAAGGAGAGCGTATATCACATATTGTACAGTCATTGCCTGTTGTACTTTTAAAACGCTAGGTACACTCCTATGGTCTAAAGAAAGATCTACAATTAACAGAGGAGCTAAAAAAGCAATATGAGTTTCAAAATAACATTGCTTATAAAAATCACAAATGAAAGATGATTAATCAAGCGCAGGAAATTGTACATGTGCACGGGTTGAAGGAATGTCTGCGAAAATTAACAGTTAGTGGTGAGGGTCGTCAGGAATTTATGACGATGAGAAAACGTCAATATAAAGGAATGAAGGAACGGTAGACTCTGTTCACAAAACAAAAGAGGAAAATTATGAAATGAGGAATAGAGGGAGGAATAAGCACATGGTAAATCAAAAACGGCTTGGGTATGATGATAGCTCAAGCAGTTCAATAATTATGGATGCAATGACAATTGTCATACATGTAGTATGATGCAATGAGATCTGAAATATGCAAAAAAGTTATTACAAATCCTGTGAGTCAAACTTCAAGTGCATTAATAACAATTCCTTCAAAACGGATCTTAAGCTAAGTGAAGCAAGGAAGCAGACAAAGAACACAATAAATCTCAATTGTTTTTACAAGACTTTAGAGCCTCACAAGACACTGAATAGGTCATTTCAAAGTCGAATTAAAAACCATTGCTGAATTCTATGAGGGAAAAAACTAAGTTGGTAAGAGTGGCTTCATTTCTGAGTGAGACTAATGAAAAGAAGAGCATTCAGTAAAACTGAAAAAAAGAAAGAATTGCGCTTCCTTCAAAGAACCGCTCAACGTTGGTTTCATCGGAGTACAAGTGTTTTTGTTATACACATGGTGGGCGGGTGGGACAAAAAAATGCAGTTTTCCTGTAGAGATGTACTGGGAAAGCGGAATAAAACAATAAATCCAGCAGGTTAATATCTAAAGGTATGTGGGGAGTTATCAAATAGCTCCTTGCATGCAACAAGACAAAGTAACTGAGAGATAAATCAAAACACAAATCAGTAAAATCAACAGTGACATAGATTGACAACAAAGCAGACTGATCAAAATGCCACGAGAGATATACGAACAGATCTTGTCTTACACTTCACATCTGGGATAACAGTGATCAGCCAGCATTATATGAACTTTATAGTTTGGGAACAGATCAGAACTAAAACAGCTAAAATCTCACACAAGACAGAAATGATCGACGAGACGCACAAGTCAACAGAGGAAATTGAGAATTCCCTAAAGATAGAGACTGCTATGTACAAGAGCTGATTGCTCTCATAATATCCCACGCATTCACTTAGAGACCGGGCTCAAGTTGGAATTTTGAGGGCATCATTACCAACCAACAATGAAGATTGGGGACCTTTCTTCAAAGAGCAAGTAGCAAGATAAACAATTTCTGAGAAGTTGACTCATTTTGGGTTTCACTTTTACACAGAGAATATTAAATGCTTATATCATATAATTGAACAGAAAACCAACAATTCCTTGTACAATTTTATCAGAAAAGTGGGCCGTACATGGCCGAAGTCAAAAACGTTTCAGTTCAAAGTGAACCTGAAACTGAATTTTGGATACAGTTCTTACTTACACAGCACACAGGAGAGTGTGCAGGACAAAACAACTGAGCCACATAAGCTAATTCCATGGTCTGGGTGATATGCATGGCACATCATGGTAGCTATCCTTTCAAATGTGTCTCCAAATAAAGGCACATAGTTTGGATGTAATTCACGGGAGTGGGATAAAAACCGACACAGTGAAAGAAATCCGCCACAAGAAGCTCCACCCATGCTGGTAAACAAAAAGTAGAGGAGGAGAAGGAGGAAGAGTAGGAAACAATCTACAAGTTGTTGTTTTTTTCCCCCTGGCCTATCCAAACTACAGACTATCTGATCACAAGAAGGAGCACAGAACACAGCAGCCAGCACACAATGTGCTTGGCACACTTGTCAGTGAACGCAGCAGAGAGAAGCACACCGATATGGGGCGTGAAGGCAAACAGGACAAGATATGCTACAAAAATGTGTATGTGTGTGTGTGTGTGTGTGTGTGTGTGTGTATAAGTGTAACTGACCTACGGATAGACACACACATGACATAAAGGATGAAAGGAATCAATGAAAGAAACAAAACCTCCATAAATTTCAACTTGTTAAAAAAAACCCCAAAGTTTACGGATCACTGGCGAACTCTTAACATGTACACAAACAAACCATAGAGCAAAACAGAAACATGTGTGCTTGCACAATAAACACTTATCTTATCAGAAATCTCAAGGGGGGGAAAAATAGAACAAATAAGTAAAGATAGATCAGATAGCTGGTGCAAAGCCCACCTTACAGTTCCTCACACTTATAATGTAACTAATCCTTAAAGCTGATTAAATCCAACTGGCATAAATAAATGATCAATGATGGCACATTTACAAAAATAACCTGCCATCCATTTCATAATATGAAGACTGCAAATGACAGATGAAATGCATCCATAAGCAAAAAGCAAGCTTACCAACACACAATCTTGCAATCAAAGTCAGTGCGACTTTCCATTCATATCAGCATAAATCATTCACAGACAACAGGTCACAATGACAGTAAAATGCATCATCCTCCTGCTCTTTCTGCATCACAAGAGTTCAGAACAGCAAAAAACTCTGATGGTGGAGCATGAAAGGAACTTGACTTCATCATCAAAATATTTCTGATAGAAGACACAGAGCAGTCATAATTTAGCTCACACTTCACAACATGGGGCCAGAGACACACACAGTGCCCAGCGAAACTCTTCAGTGTAAAATATTATAATAGAAACACAATCCAGGTGAAAGATACAAACAATACACACAGAACAGCTCTGATGACGATGTGATCATTCATGAGCTGAGAACTCCACAACAGCAGGATAGCCATTCTTTAGAACTTTCAATAACGGGTTGTACTTGTCTGAGTGGCAGGGAACATCTTGATGTATTTGACATCTCTGGGGAGAGAGGTACTACAGGATACATCTTAGACTGAAAACGGATGGCCTTACATGAGTACTCTTGTCTCCCGGGCTCAATCAAAGGAATTAGAAAATGGCGAATATTTATTCATATTCAGCAGTTCCACATTTACGTCACAAAGCGTAGTTTCTTTTCCAACCTACTCATTTGGAGGAATTTCTGGTGACCGTGTCTTGTCTTTGACACAATATTATCCTTATTCCATGCTGATTTTCAAAGTCCTTTTGAACCCATCTCAATCTCTTGAAGAAACTTATTATGCAAAGAACAAATGATGAATTTCTGTGCATCAAGATCTTGGAACAATTTTGTTAAAACTTGTTACACAGACAAAGAAATTCAACGATACTCATAGAATACATGCACAGAAAAAAAAATCAAAACAAAAAGAAAACGGTGAAGTATGAGAAGCATTAGCTTGTCCTCTTGCTGGGAATGTAGACCATCACATCACTGCCTGTTGAGTCACGGAATTCACACTCAACCTGAGGAACACATAACACAGTTATTACTATAGTAACTGGGCAGGAGGAACAGAGAACTGAGACAAGGAAACATAACCCCTCTCAAACTCAAAGCAGGAAATGAGAAAATCAAAGCCAGCAGGCCGTACACTGTTCTTGTGACTTAATGCAGCCCACAAAAGTTTTTAAAAAATGTTTTGATAATGCAAAGACACACAGAACGCATACAATTTAAATCTCAGGTAATGTAGATAAAATAGCCAGCTACATAAACTAAGAATAAGTACGATTCCTTAACACTTTGCAGTCACACAGCCTGCGGTACAAAATACCCCATCTGGTCACCCAGCCAGGAGAGTGACTGCAACAAACTTCTTGAGCCTGGCGCACTTTGTGCCAGGTGACCGTAACGGATAATTTTCACCGGCACATTATAGCACCAAGTGAGTGCAAAGTGTAAAAATATAATTTATGCTTTAAACTAGAAAAATAAAAAAAGAATGATCTGAGTGCCATGCAGTTCCCTGAAATACAGACTTTGCATTGGAACAGTTTCACCATCAATTCAAGAGTAAGCAACAGTAAACTGTACCTATTTCAATTTGGGACAAAAATCCATAAACACAACAGCCTCCACCACATGTTTAACACAAGCCAAAGGACAAAACTTCACATCAAAATACAACAAAAATAGAGGCAAGTCATACATTTATGACCTCTTAAATAATGGTCTTTTATGCTTTGTGGCCTAATGGTTAGGCTACAATACTTAGGCCTATGATTGTGAGGTTGTAGATTCAAGGCTTAGCCCAGCCCAATGTTCCCCCTTCACTAAGGTGTGAATGGGTACCCAGCCATAGACAGCAAAAGATCTTATCTGTATTTGAGTGTTTTTGCGCCTCTGAAATGGCAGTTTACACTAAATGCTTCCCAGAAAGTTGAGACTGTTTCAAAATGTTATCAGGTCTGCTGGGGTAATATTAATATAGATTCTTAAGTGCATAGATCTTGCTGTTGGGCAGGAATTTGCACCATACATTACATGCTATTTATTTATTCATCATTATTATGGTCTTTTCATAACTCACCTAAAGACCTTTCTAATACTCCAACTCTCTTCCCAAGTTCACTAACAACATTTTTTTTTCTCACAATATCTGGTACCACATTTTCCCCCTTTTCATATTATAGGACAGACCAAGAGTGTATTCCTACCTGTCTGAATTTAGCGTTGAGGATGGCAAGAGAAGACTTAGAGGGCGCCATGAAGTAGCTGCTCATGGCGTTGCCGCTGACGATATGTCTATGTACAGGGGACGGGTGCCACACGCCGGATGGGTCAGTGTACTGAGAACCTGAGATGGACACAAGAATATTGGTCAGGGTGAGAGGTATAAATATTTTGTGGGGCATCAACTAGAAAAAAACCTCCCACTGTGTGTAAAGTACATGTAATCTCATTATAATACACAAGCCCCTTGACACAGTACACACTGACCAGAGACTTTACAACCCCTGCTGAAGCAAAATCAAATTTAAAATATTTGCTGATGGAAAAGGGAGTTGAAGGGGCAATAATAAGAGTAAACAAATTTTGAATAAGAAGAAAAGAATGGAACATTTTATTCATACATATCAGTTCCAGTTTTATTGTGAAGACAACATTAAAAGTTCTTGATCTATCTACTTATCTATCTATCCATCTATCTACTGATCTTACCTGGCATCTTCTCCACTTTGCCTGTGACCAAGTTCATGATGATGATGTCATCGTCATCAGCAGAGGTCAGGACAAGGTCATAGCCGTGGTGCGAGGTGGAGGGCAGGAATGCTACATCACTGATGCTGGCGCTCACAGTCACCTCGTAGGTTCTCTCCATCACACCTTTACATGAAGAAATGTACATGATTAAGATTCTTTCAGTCTATTTTTAGGGAGGAAGAGGAGGGGGCGGGGTAAGGTAAGGGCATGAGACTGTCCTATTCTTAATCCCTTGGACACCAGCATATGCCTGAGCCTGACTACTTTTAACCCTTCTTTGTATGCCTAAGCATATGATGCAGAATAGACAGTTTTAATCTGTCTGCAAATAAGTGTCTTTGGCAATAGGAGAAAGCTGAAAGAGTGTTTGAGAAACACACACATGTATGTCCATCCTCCAGACTAATATGGTAAAATAAACTATGTTTTACGGTTAGGTCGAGCCAGCCTTTGATTGGAAGAGAGACAGGATACATGAATTTGTTTGTCTGTTAGAGTAAAATTAAGCATACTAATACAATAACAGCCTTCAAGTGCCAGGAAAAAAAGACCCACACACTAACAACAGAGGGATTATAAAGAAGGAGACCCTACCACTGGTGTTCTCCAACAACCTGCCCTTATCAGCTACCACTTTAATGTTATCAATAACATTGTTACTGTAATAGTCAACAGCAAAATAACACAAACCTTCCTCAGAGATGGATGCTACGACAACCTTCCCAGTAAACTCATCCACGGTGATCAGGTGGCGGGAGTCAGGGGAGACCATCGGGCGGCCGGCCAGGGACACGGTGGAGATGATGGTGTCGGTCAAGTGGTCCATGACCAACTGCAGGGTGTGCTGGTCAGCTGCAGACACACACTGGATCACGATGTGGCCGCCTAGAGAATAGAGGAAGAAAGTTGTGATGAGTCTTCATTATCTTCTTTGGAAAAGATCCAATTGTACTTCATGGTGAGCACCAGGAACAGAGTAAGAGATGAAGGGGAAGGCCACGTGGACCCTAGACAGGCACACAGAATGATGTACAGAAAAGTGAGAAGACATGGAATAATATCAGGAGGCTAGCCCAGAATAGGGAAAGGTGGAAAATGTTTGTTCCAGGCCTTTATCCTGATGCAGGGTGAGAAAAGAATTGTGATATCAGATATTGATGATCAGGAACAGGTGGGAGCAGACCAACTCCCACTGTATATTTACGATGTGGAAAAGAGAAGAGAAAGACAGTACACAGAATTCACTTCATAAGGCAGCACACACACAGATTTGTTAATTAAACACTATCAAGAAAGATCAGAGCGCAAAGTAAAAGTGTAAAAGCTTTTTAAAAAATAAAAAAATAAGCATATACAGTCAAACCTGTGTAAGACGGCCAGCCATTGTCAAGGAGAAAAGTGGCCGTAAAAGACAGGTGGCCATCTTAGGCAGGACTGATCAAGATGAAGAAAACAAACCATTCCCATCTGAGGTCCCAATCGAAAGTAGCCGCATTGTTGTTGTTTTTGTTTGTGGTGGTTTGTAGTTTGTAATTTTTATTTTGTTGCTGATTTTACAAAAGGGTGACAATAAAACGAAATGTATCAGACGAGGAAGACTGAGTGCCATGTTAAAACAAACACATGGGTCGCCACCACTCGGAGAACGAGCGATGCTTCTGTCACAAGTTCATGTTGACGTCCTTTGTTACTTTGTTACAGACTGGGTAAACAGTGACCACTCATCTCACTTACGATTTGTGCAGGAGTTTTGGGCGGGGCTTATGGGTTATGAGGGATCACACGCTTACCTCACCAGCAGCTGAAAATTGGTATCTATTGGTCAACAGTGGTAGGGCTAGGCAACATGATCTGTTGGAGGGATTACCTAACAACAACGACAGGTGATTGGATCATGACGGCTCGTCCACAACGCCAGGGGCCAAAGCACAATTTATGACAAAACGTAATGGAGTCACTAAGGTGGCCGTCTAAGACAGGTGTTATTACTTAGTGTGATACGAGTTGTGTGTTTAAATATGGTGGCCACGGCCGCGTTGGACAGGTGCCCGTTTTACAAAGTTAAATTATATAGAAAAAACGCAAAGGGGGAAATGGAAAGTGGCCGTTTGTACAGGTGGCCGTCTTATAGAGGTGGCCGTCAGGGCAGGTTTTACTGTATTTCTGAAAAAAAAGGAACAAACCACATATTTCTGCCTGACATTTTTGAAACAGCACTCTGACAAAATGAAAAAGACCAAAAATATAGCAAGTAACTTTTAAAAATTGTGATACTCTCCTAGCTAGCATTTTAAAGAAAACTTTCCGACCCCCTCCCCATAATGAGACTTAACACATTCAAATGATTGCTATTTCTCTTACCAACAGGCACAAAGGCCAGACTGCGGGGGACACAGCCATAGTTGGAGAGGTCGATGGATTTGGTGTTGCCCATGTCCTCCAGACTCAGCTTGAACAGGCTGCTTTGACCCGCGTGTGATACGTAGCCGTAGTCAAAGTCATGGTCAAGGTCGTTTGGAGGAGCGATAAACAGATTCTCCACCTGTTGAGCAAGACAGTTTTTTTTGTTTTATGGCACTTGTAACACAAATAGGTCATACAGGCGCTGAAAATTAGAGGTGTTACTAGAAAGTTAGATACAAAGAAAAGAAAGAGGAGAGGTAAAGATAATAAATGTTCGACAGGAAAATAGCATACTACACTAGAACACCTGCAAACCACCCACAGAGATAAAACAGAGCAAAAACAACTACTCATCACAGATTTGTTTCATTTGTTAGAGTAAAGAGATGATAATGGTAATTTCTTCCAGGGAAAAGGAAAGACAAATCAGAGAGAAACAGCACACAGAAAGGAAAGAAGTAGGAAGAAAAATACAACAAGACACTCCCATTGAGGATATGGGTGGCCATTCAGTGTTGTTGAGGGGTAATGAATTATAATAATAAAGTGAAGTCAGAAAAGCTACACTTTGATGAGGACCAGATTTGGATAATCATAACTCTTGACAAGAAGTAGAAAGAGCAAACCATGCCCAGAACCTCTTATCAAATTTGCTTATACCAAATATATACTGTAAAAAAAAAGGAACAAAGATGCTTGAACTTCTTATATTTGCTAAATAATAGATTTCTAGGAAAAGCAGTACACTATGGGTAGCAGAAGTTTGAAAAAGCATTTTGTCAATCTCTTTCAAACCAGGATTTTTAAAATTTCTTATCCTAGAATCCTAGAGCACGGTCAAACCTCTGTTGAAGGGAAAAGTTCTCATCTTAGACAGGTGGTCTTCTAGGTCAGTGTCGTTATAATACAGAAAAAAATCCAAAGGGGAAGTAGGAAGCGGTTGTTTGTACAGGTGGTTGTCTTAGACAGGTGATCATTATAGCATGTTTGATTGTATCTACTGTCATGTTATGGCTCAAAAGTCTCAGCACACACTACTCACCAAGTCAAAGTGGTTCCCAACAGGCCTGGTGTGCACAGACCGGTGCTGGATGTGCTGGCTGGCATCTCGGATGACCACGATGGTGCGTCCGCTGTCTCCTCCACACAGCACCCACACCTGGTCCAGATGAGACACGTACCACAGGTGCTGGGGACGCTCATCTGTGCCGATCACCTTTGGGGACAAAATGTTTAATAACAATAACGATAAAAAATAGCATTTATGTTGTGTGTTTCCATTTTCTAAAAAAAATGCTCAATGTGCATTACATTCAAAGAGATATCACATTTTAAAATCGCTTGACAGGTGTATGTGTAGAAAATAATATCTTGTATTTATATATGTATATATGCTCATATTCTTTTTTACATACGCCAAGTGAAAGTAAAAATCTGACTGCTGTTTCTCGCTCAAATGCATTTTATTAGAAACGAAAAGGATAAAAAAGATAAAATGATATCATAAAATGCATTCACATTATCTTACAATAGTAACTTTGGAGTAATGAGAAAATAAGCACCTGTTGCATTTGACACAAGACATAATTTTCGGCACAACAGGGCCTACACAATGAACAAAATAATGAGATTCTGTGCACAGTATTAATTCCATGCCAAAAAATGCATGTACCCGTTCTAAATCTTTAGCAAATTCTTCTTTTTTTTTCCAGCATCAGTAACACATTCCTAAGGATAGTTTTTTTCAAGAATGAAACCTTAAACAAAAAGGCTTAAGCTCTTATTTTCTGGTGATGAGAAAAATGAGAAAACTCACTTTATATTTTATTAGAAAATTATATAACCAATGCCCACACCATGCTTTGAAAAGTAGACATCTCATAGTCATGGCTTCAGGTGGTATACAAATGCAAAGTATTATATTATTATTATTATTATAATTACTATTATTATTATAATTATTATTACTACAATTACTATCACATTTAACCCGCTTCAATCAAGAACCAGACCTGCAGTGGGTTCCATGTGTTCCCAGCATCCACAATGACAACCCGGCTCTGGTCAGGCTGTGTGGCGTAGATGAAATCAGCGCCGACCTTAACAGCCCCGCCCCACTGACAATCCTTGCCGGTGCGGCACAGGCTAAGTGGCTCGTCCAGGGCGTCTGGGATGAACTTGAAGTCTCCAAAGTCGGGGTGCACGTTGTGGCGAGTGATACACATGAGTGGGTTGTACGAGGACACGCCCTTCGGGTGGAACACGACGAACGTGCCCTCATCTCTGGCCGAGACCTTGTCTGGAAAACACAGGGTACGACTGATTGTTAATATTTCATCCTCTACTGACACAATCTACATAATTTCAAATGCAGGATCCCTTCATACTGTCTGTCAGGGCTAAACCAGGCTGATTTGAGGACATTTCTATATCTTTATTCAGGCAATTTCCCACAAAACTACATAGGCTCCTTCTGAATCAAATCATAAAGAAAGTGTTGTTTTCTTTTGTATTTTAACTCATCAGTTGCAAAACAAAACAAAAAAACCTCATTATATCAGTTTCTCACCGTAACAGTACTCGTAAAATGTGATCTCCACTATTTACATAGTTTGCTCCTTTGAAATAGATATCTCATCTTAAAATACTGACACATATATATATACACAGAGAAAGCAGAGGTTATGGTATCCACATAAAAAAAATCTTACTCTTGTTTTCTCCAAAATTGGTTCACTTTTTTTGACTGCCCTATAGACGAAGACTTAGGAGAAGTAACTACTGCTTGTGCAGTTGTCTATTGTGTAAAGGGATATAATGGATTTGTTTCTCTCTTAAATTAATTTTCTGTATTGCCTGTACAAGCATACATAGAAACACATATCTCAGTAATGCAAAGGTTACAGCTAGATTAAACAGTCATAGATAACATCATATTAAAAGCAGATAGAAAAAAAAGAAAGAAAAAACCCCACAATGAAATACTCTGCGCCTCCGTGTGAGGGTAGACATTTAAACTGTACACATTTACTCACGTGAGGTTGTGTAAGGAGGAAGGACGGTGACAGAGACGGACTTCTCGGTGGTGCCGGCCTGGTTGTGGGCAGTGCAAGTGTACGTACCAGCATCGCTGTCGTAGTGGGCGTTGTGGATCGCGATGTGACCGCCACCGTCTAGATAGAAAGTGCAAGAAGAAGTAAGACATCAATTTCCACATTTATTCTCCCATTCACAGGTTTACCATAAACACTGAAGGCCTCTATTGTTAGCCAAATTCCATTGCTGTTATTGATCTAAAACAATGTCAATACATCTGTGTTTCTTCAAACTTTTCACCAGAACTTTGTATATTTTTTTTTTCTCTGTCAATCAGTTGACCAAACACAATGGCAATTTTTTTAATAGACTAACCCGGAACAGTTGCTGTTACTTAAAAAGGATGGAAATGAATAATTTTCAGACCCATATGAAAGGAAATGGGCTGACCAATAATTATTATTAAGCTAGTCTGTTACTAGAAATATCAAAGTCACTTTTTGGATGTTCAGATTCCTATAATATCAGGGATGAATAAAAGCTGCTATAACATGCAGCATGTCTGTACTTACTTGAATGTGGTTATTTTTAAACATATAAACAACTTCTTAATTCAAATCACAATAAATGCATCATAATCTCTTGGTTGGGATGTCATATAATCGAAAGATCTGAGTTGGGTTCCTAGCTTAACACGGTATATCATATCCAAATGAAAGGTTCTTCAACTTAAAACTTGTTTACTTCCATTTGCTGAGCTATAAGTAGGGACTTGTGAAATCCTAAGAGTGTTTTTCTACTGGGAGGGATACAAAAGAATTGACTCTCTCTTTAACTTTAACAGGATATCTTTAACACATTGTCTTTAACGCGATGTAAAAAAATTTCAGCACAACACAAGGTTTAAATGTTCTATGGATACTCACAGTAGATGGTGGAATGCCCATTGTTCTCAATGACCTGCTCCCCTTGCCTCCATGAGATGCTGGGCTCAGGGATCCCCTCAGCGTGACAGTGCAGCTCAATGTCGGAGCCTGTCAGGTGGGTCTGTGTCACCGGGCTCACGTGGACAATAGGAGCAGCTGAGGAGAAACAAAGGACTTTTCAAACCAGGATCATCGGTGAACATTGCAAATAACTGACTCATTTTATTTGAAGGCAGGTGAGCAAACACAGGTTGAAAGGGTTAAACGCATGCATCAGGGTGAAACACTGCACAGGTTTAAAAATAACATACAAGAACCTTTTATTACCCCGCTTTTCTAACATCAAATTTAATTTATTTAAAACGTGATTTTTAGTGTTGGGGAGGGGGAGGGCGAATGTAGGGGTTTACAGTCTACTTTTAAAAGCTTATTAAAATTTTTCTTTAATCAACCGAAAATAGAGTGTTCCAGACCTCATGAATTACAATTTCATGAAGAAGTCTATTACTCACAATAATAATTTCACTCCTCTTCCTTTTTATAAAATGTATTAAAAAATGAAAATACAGCCATATCTCTAATAATTCTACTATTTTACAATCTACACCCGTAAACTCCAAACAGTAAAACCTGGTCTTTGCGCGACCTTTACATGAACTCACTCTGTACTCTCAGCTGGTGCACCTGTGCCTTTGCCGAGTCCTCGGCGTCCATGCATGTGTAGTTGCCGATGTGGTGGAGGCCGACTTTGCTGAAGAACAGAGCTCCGTCCTCAAACACCTGGGGCAGAGGAGATTTACAGCAGGTTGTCAGTGACAATCATTTACTTTCAATCAAATCTAGACATGGTGGAATTAATCTTTTAAGTCTACAGTCACAAAGGACTCTGATATCTTTTTTCATAAAAGCTAAAACTTAGAGACACACGAAAACATGTGTACTTCTAGTCATTAAAGTGAGAATCGTCAATTAGCATTGCCCCAAGGTGCACCCTCACCTCAGTATACACATATTCCCATAATCTCACTTCAACTGACACATCAACCATACAGAATCTCAAACCAACCCTACTACTGACACTATCTCAAACAAAGCTACACAACCACTCATCTAATCAGAACTGAACCTATACAATACAACCCCCCCCCCCACACCAACCCATAAGATATCAACAAACACAAGTTCACCAACCCTAACAATTTGAAGTCAATCCACACAAACATTAATCCAATTCAAAATGAACCCACACAAACTCATACCATTTTGTACAACCCACATAATCTAACATAGACTTAAGCATCCAAATGCAAATACAGACACAAACACACATACAAACACAAAATACACACACAGACACACATACACATATACTGCGCATACAAACACACAGACACACACACAAAACAGAAGGGCACCCACCATCAATTGATGACCGCGTGTGTCATCTGTCAACTGTGTCCCGTAACGTTTCCACACCACCTGTTTTGCATCCACGCCACACTTGAGCTCAAGGCCGTTGCCTGCTGATGCCAAGGTGGGGATCACACTCACGGGGATCTGATCCAACACAGCCGGCTCCTCAAGTTCTGGTTTGGGACAAAAATTGTTACTGTTGAACCTGCACTAACGGTTACTTGTATATGACAATCACTTGTACAAACGGCAACTTCCCATTTCTCTGGTTGCATTCAAAAACCCCCCGCCAATGACACTGTGTAAGGCGTCCACTTGTCTAAGTCAGCCACTTTTCTCTCAATAATGGACGGCCGTCTTACACAATTACAACTACATGTAGATGTGTTTATAGCTCAATATTGTCAATTAAGTGACCCAGCAGACAGTCGGAGTATTATAACAGTTAAAAATAATTACCCAACGCAAGATTGGAACTCAAATATCTTCTTCATGCGACAGAGAAGAGCCAAACCATTACACTACAAATGCCTGTGAAATTGAGGTAGTCTTCAGTCAGAAAGTCTTATTAAGTCAGATGAAACAAGTAGGAAAAAAAGTAGGTCCTTCCAGTGATGACATCCAGCCACTCACTTATACTTTAGCAACTTTTAAGCATTATACACATTTTTTGTTTTTTGCTTTCAGCATCCTAGAGTCCATCTTGTCTTACCAAAAGACAATAACTAACTTTAAGGAATGAAAAGACAATAAAAACTGTATACATCCTCCATGAGAAAAAAAAAATTGGCAGTGTGCTTTTATAAATAAGAGTCCTAGAGTGTTTACTCACCAAATGAGTCTGTGAACTCTGTGACTGTGAGCTTCCCGTCCACCTCGCTGTTGTCAGCAAATTTTACAAAGTCTCTGAGATGGCAGTTGATGATGATCTTCCTGCTGAAGTGTTCGTCGCGCTCTTTATCGTCCAGCTCCTCGGCCGTCAGGAAGAAGTCAAAGTCGTGATCGTAGTAGCTGAACATCAGCATGGACAAATACTGGCGGTCTGGAACAAGCAAAAAGTGGTTGCGGAAATGTTAAAAGAAAAACTTTCATTTTCCATTATGTTTTTTTTGGTATCTTTGCTAATCCCTACAGATACAAAGCAATATTTCTAATTCGTACAATTTTACCTTAGTAACTTGATACTGAAGATGAAAAGGATTTGCGATCTCTCTCTTGAATTGTTTCTAGGTAAGAAATTCTGTCTACAGCTTTCTGGAAATATTAGATGGTAAAGAAAGGTGCATGGATCTTGTTAGTATTTTTAGAATTTTCTCATTACACTGATGTCAAGCATTGCTGTAAAACACTGCTGTAACAGAAAGAACCACGGGTGACTACATACCAGTCTTGACCTCCATGTTACAGTTGGGCTCCACAAACTTCTCACAGTGGTACATTAGCAAAGCGTCCTTGAACTTGGCCATTTCTTTCCATGTGCATTCCTTCTTTCCTACTTCTGTCTTTGTGGTCTCCTTTTTCTTCTCTTCCTCTTTGTTCTCAGCTGTTGTCTCTTTGCTGGGCTCATTTGGTTGAACTGTGCCGTAAGACTTCTTCACATCTGATGTCTTAAACCCTGAAGTTGAAAGAAACAAGTATGATAAAGTTGAGAAGCCCAAGGACCTTCCACATCTGATATACTTTCTTTTGAGTTGAGAAAAAAAGTAAGTCTGAGATGATAGAAACAAAAGCACCATGATTGGGGGTGAGAGGGAGGGAAGAAAAAAAGATGAGCCGACCAGCAGTTTGCAGGGAGCCAGAATTCCTCAAAACAGATTAGGTAAAAAAAAACACTCACAAAGGGACAAAAAGTAGAACACTAGATTGGCCACCTACTAGCCCAAACCCCAAAAAACAACAATTGAACAAGAAATAAAGAAATCAGGAAAAGCCGGCCTTCCCATACCATTGTCAGGATGAAGTTACAGTCAGTTCACTTTACAAGAAAATTTATTACAGGTAATGTTCAACTCATAAAACTCCACAAAGGAATTGGTAAAATGATGTCAGTACCACTTTCTCATCATTTGTTCACCTGGTAAGAACGTAACAAAATCAGTTTTGTATTAGCTATCAATGTTCAGTAGCAAGGAAAGGGATTTGTAGAAACTCAGTTATGGATCTTTGACATATGAAGAGAGTGAGAGATCAAAGTCTCAACAGCCAAGATAACTGTGCTGTCATGATCACTGTTCTGGACTGTCCACATCAGGGTGACAACATTCAGTCAAAATCGCTCTTACGAATACCTCTCCAATACAATCACCTGTACAGAAAATGACTTCCCAATTATCCCCTTGCATAATCATTAACAAAAAATTATGGTGATATGGTCCGAGAGGACCACCTGTCTAAGATAACCACTTTTCCAAGCTTTAATTCCATGAGAAGATGAATAGTTTCATGGCTTGCTTGCCTAAACCCAGTGACAGAATGACATTTTTTCTTCCAATTTCAGAGTACAAGACCATGTGTAATCCGATGATTTTTACCTGACTTGAGGTCCTGGGGATACTCATAGATTTCTTGAGCTGGGATGTGGTCCTCCTCTTTGATTTTTTCCTCTTCTTTCTTCTTGTCTTCTGCCAAGAGTTCCTCCTGTTCCATAAGCCAGCTTTTCTCTGAAAAGACAAAAATAAAATACAACATCATATGTTTACTCAGATGGAACATAATCATTTGATGTACAGTTGAATTACTTGTTTAACACACACAATTTACAACCAAGTGAAATGAAGTGACAGGGTGTGATTGTACCCGTCAACCTCTCTCATTCTGTGTGCTGCGGGAGCGACACTTTCCCATCACCACACAGTCTTCAGTATGATTCATATTTACTCTAGCACACCCTTGTCCTGGTGATAATGAAGTATCTGGTTTCACAGGTGAGCAACAGGATTATAACAAGCCAAGATACCATCAATGGAAAAGAAATGTGTAAAAGTGGTGTTGATATTTCATACTTTGTATAGGTTTTCCATCATCCATGTTTTCATATTGCCACAAGTGCAGCTCAAACTGCTCACCTCTGATGTAATGTCTATTTCTGACTAGAACAATACAATTTATTTCTCTATGACATAGCTCACCTTTCACTTGGAGGTCTTTCTTGAAACACAGACCTCGGCGGTCAATCCGGATGTGAGCCCGGGTGACACAGGCGGTTCGGTGCAGCTCACAGTGAGATGGGTACTGGACCCCATCTGAGCCACACACTGGCTTGTGGTGACCCGCACACATGGACGGCTTGAAGCACTTGCACACGCTGTGGACGCACGTGCGACCTGCTGGGCACTCGATGTCATACTTGCAGAATTCTGGAGGAACAGTAAACGGACAGATAAAGTTGTTGTTGAGCTCTCCTGATTTGTTTTGGGAAAGGCAAGGACACAAACCGAAGAAATATTGTCTCCTTAGAGATCTAAACTGTATTAAAGAGGTGTAATACATTTACACTTCAATCATTCAATCAGAGAAACAGCATCTGGAACTTATACCTGCACAACATGAGGAGGAGAGAGAATAGGAAAAATTTCACCCCCCCTCTCTCTCCCCGTAGAATATTCATGATCTACTCACGATCTGGAATTTAGCAGTGTTTGAATGAGAACTTCACAGGTTCGATCCTGTATGGGGGAGTTTAATACGTCAATAGACTAAAAAAAAGCTTGATGAAAAAAGCATAAAAGCTTTCCCATAAACAAACTCTAAAAACAAATTTTAATGCTGATAATATAATACAAACTATTTACAACAACAATTTTCAAAAAGGGGGTATTTTTAAGTCTCTCCTCCTACATATACAAGCATTATTAGTTATCATAACATTTTAATTCCTTTTTATGAGCAGCATCAATTACTTTTAGTACACTAAAAGGAATTCAGATACTGTTCCTTAAAAGTCATTTTTCTAAATTCGTTTAAAACTGAAAACTGGCACAATAAAAAATACAGCAATTAATGCGCCCAAATAGTCCAAAGAACCAGTTTTTATATAATTCCTCGTAAAACTGAAATGTTCCATGACCGTAACATTATTACTAAAAAGGGAAACAAAGCAGTAGAAAACAGATGCAATTCAAGGCTACAACATGACTACAACAAATTCATTTCTAAGACATAGAGACTCAAATTTAAAATCTTTCATAAGACAACACAATAAAAACCAACAAACTAAATAAACAAGGCAACATAGAGAATATCTCTGTGAACGCATAGCATAATATTTAAATTCACAAATAATTCAACACACCACCATCAAAATACATTTATAATAAACACATTCGAACATCACAACAAGAAAATCATGCAAAATTGACTTGCATTGTGTGATTGATGGGCTGGTAGTTTATAGCCAGTAACCAATATGGTTTCCTTATTTCATCAGGACAGGTATGGATAATGTAACAATGAAACATGATGAGACCACCCATCATTCCATCATTGGAAGAAGGGGGATGAGAGAGAGAGAGAGAGAGAGAGAGAGAGAGAGAGAGAGAGAGAGAGAGAG